TTTTTTTTTTTTTTTTTTTTTTTGAGTCCCGCGGTGATTGCTGGTAGACTGTTGAGGGTTCAGCATCCTGATGAGTCGGTGGCAAGACTTAGTCCGGCGAACAATCAATCCGAACAATCAATCAATCAATCATCAAGAGTTTTTTTTTTGTCTTTTTTTTTTTTTTTTTTTTTGGGTACTAGTAATTGCGTTTTGGATCACTGCCTTTTTCTTTGCTGTGCCTCGTGCGGTTTGTTTGCCCACCCTCCTCCCCCATGCCGACACGTGGTTAGCCAGGGGGTGTTTTTTTTTCTTTGCCGAATGTTGTGTTTTTTGTTCCTTTTTCTTTTTTGTCGGTTCGTTTTTTTTTGTTTTTTTTTTTAATCTTTCTACTAGAGGCCCATATCGGTTGCTTCTGAAGTTTTCCACTTTGTTGCTTGTAGCGGTGCGGCAAAAAACGGCAAGTTTTCGGCCCTCCGTTAACCATCTGTCCCGGGCCGATGCCCTCCACCCTATGTCCTTTGCTGTGCTGCCTGTCGTTCATGCCTGTGCTGCCTTTGCCTTGCGCTGCTTTTTTGGGCTTGCTGTTCCTGTGCTTTACATCGCTGCCTCGTGCTGTTTGTCTCAGAATCGTTTTTCTTTTCTTCTTAAGCCACCAGTACTTCCTAAAGTCGTACCCGTATACAAGCCACAACTTTACAAAACATACATACCACTACAGGAGCGCCCAAATGTCATCCGACTAGAAACGTTCTACTCATTATTTTTTTCATGCGGCCTGTAGCTGCGCCGAGTACTGGTGGTTTAATATTACATAAGGCTTAGCGGAGTTTCCGTGAAATCGTGAAATCGTAGGAGAAGCGCCACTGGTTGAATCATTCTATCTCTTTGAACAAAAAAAAAAAAGATAATTCCTTTCGCTGTCGCTTGTCCCTGCTTGCAGACCACCTAGGAATCTTCAGAATCTTTAGAGTCTCCTGTGTTCACACTTTTCAGCGCAATACGAACGCAGTACGATCATGGAGGTTTCTTCCCTCATCAAACACACACACCAAAAGTGATGAGAAAGGAAAGCCAAACAAGAAATTGGGGGAATCCATTGCGAAGTAGGGTGAGGGTGGCAACAGTGTTGCTGAGATCCCGGGCCTTCTCAAAAGGTTAGGGGGGCGGAAGGAAGCCTTAGGATATTTTTGCTCACCTTCATGTGCCCAGGGTGTGTTCCAATGGCGGCCATGACCTGCATTTCCGAGAGAGGCTCTCTTCACCGCAATCCATTACACGGGAAGCAGTACAGCAAGCACCAAGGGACACGAGGGAGTAAAGAAAATGTAGAAGGGAGGTGGAAGGGACAGACCGACAAACGACGGCAAAAAGGAAGGACAAGTTCCAAGCAATCGCAAGCATGGGAGAAAAGGCAGGACAAGTTTGCAAACACGGGAGCGAAGGGGAAGGACAGTAAATCAAATGCAGATGTACAGGACTAACGAGAGAGGGCAATACTGCAAACATCAAAGGGAAGGAAGGAGAACATTGCAAACGTTAGACGAACTGCAGGACAATAAGTTAAGCATAAATGTAGGCAAAGGAAGCACAATACGGGAGACATATAGGACGGCGAAGGAGAAAAATGCGAACCTCGGAGCAAAGGAAGGACAAGAACGCAAACATCGGAGCAAAGAAGGACAATAGTACGGACACAGGACTATCTCAGTCTAGGGTCTAGGGTTTAGGGCTCTTGGTTTAGGCTTTAAGCTTAGGTTTATATCTCACAGTTTCGGGGTACGAAGGACAAGAATGCGAACACAGGAGCAAAGGAAGGACAATAATAGAGATATGGGACTATTAAAGTGTAGGCTTTAGATCTCAGGGTTCAGGCTTCAGAGTGTAGAGTTTCAGATTTAGGGTTTAGGGTTAGGGGTGTATACCACAAGAATGCAAACATTGGAGTAAAGGAAGGACACAACAATAGGGTAAAAGACTATTATGGTCTAGGGTTGAAGGTTGAGGGTTGAGGGTTAGGGGTTTAGGGTCGTAGGTTTAGAGTTTACTGTTTAGGTTTAGGGGTATGCAGGGCAAGAATGCAAACATGGGAGCAAAGGAAGGACAAAAATAGAGGTAAAGGACTATTACAGTGTAGGGAGATCAGGATTTAGGGTTTCAAGGTTCAGGGTTTAGGGTTTAGGGTTAAGAGTTTAGACTTTAGAGTTCGGGCTTAGGGGTGTATAGCACAAGAATGCAAACATGGAAGCAAAGGAAGGACAACAATAGGGATAAACGACTATTACGATGTAAGGTTCATAGTCCAGGGTTTAGAGTTAAACTTTATGGTTTAGGGTTTGTAGTTTACGGTTTAGGGTTTAGGGTTTAGGCTTAGGGGTATATGGGCCAAGAACGCAAGCATGGTAGCAAAAAGAAAAGACGATAAAGGAGATACAGGACTATTGCGGTGTAGGGTTCGGGCTTCAGGGTTTTGAGTTTTGCGATTTGGGTTAAGGCTTTAGGGATTAAGGGTTTTGGGTTAGGGTTCATAGGTTAGGGGTGCGCAGGGCCATAATGCAAACATGCGAGAAAAGGAAGGACAATCTTACAAATGTGGAAGCAAAACAAAGGCAGCAACACATACGCCATTCAACACTTCAAAAAGTCAAACAACAATTGATTGTCAGTTATATCCCTGAACCATGGCATGCATTATAGTCAACAATAGAAAGCAAGCAAGAACAAAAACAACCTCAATAGCGACACTGTTAAGTATTTTTGTAAGGGTAATATTGCTCTTCATCTGGTCTTCAAGGAGTGCAAACAACGACAAACGGAATCCAAACGGTAAGGAACCTTGAGATTCCTTACCGCGGTGTCTCAAATGTTTTTTTTTTTTTTTTTTTAATAGGGAACTTGAGCAACACGTGCGGGGAACTGGACCCAGCATCCCTTCAGTAAAGGTTACAAATACAGGTGTCTCTAATGGCCTAATGTCGTCTAGGGAAGAATTGATTAGCTTTAAGCCATCCATCCATTCAAATGACATTGAATTTTCAATCTGTAAACCCCGAAAAAAGAGACAAAAAAAAAAAAAAAGAGGCTGGTGTGTTTCCAACTTTCCACTAGCCATTCCTTAACACCACTAGCACCTTTGCCGCGTGGGAAAATAGCGGGCCTCGGGTGGGCCTCCGACCTTTTCGGATGGCCGAAACGAAATGACCGCCGCCGATCAGATTTATCAATGGCAGCCGTTGTCGGGCCCGGCCTCCAAATTTTCAGGAGTTTGGGAAAACTGCCAGTTTTCCCTAATTTCCCAATGCTGGGCGAGGTACTAGTGGTTTAATTCGAGTGATAAATAATAATAACAGTGATTCAGTACATAGAAAAAAAAAAGAAAAAAAGCAATCACAGTGCCGCCTCAGTTTGACCACCGGCACTCCTTCGACACTATCGGCACATAAGGTTGCAAGGCATCTTCACCTTAATAGAACGCCGGGTCAGCGTCGCTGTATCTAGACTGAAAGTTGCACAAATACAGCTATAATGCCCGGCGGGCATTGTATTCGGGTGAACACGGTAGCCATTGCCGAGCACCACAGGATTTAAGTCTCAAGTGCCGAACCGGATAGCACAGAGAAGATTAGCATGGCCGCTTTTTACGGATGTCCTTTGGGACAATTGTCACCGATCTTTTTTTGGGTCAAGTTTTCACAGATGTCCTTCGGGACAATTTTCACAGAATCTGATGTCCTCCGGGGCAATTTTCACAGATGTCCTCTGGGACAATATTCACAGATGTCCTTCAGGACAATTTTCACAGACGTCCTTCGAGACATGAATCGAAATTGGAACGATACAGAGAAGAGAGTATCAGCATCCTGACATACATAAATGTCCCCGGATACCGTGAAAATTGTCCCGAAGGACATCTGTGAAAATGGTCCTCTTGTCCTTCGGGACATCCATTAAAATTGGAGCGATACAGAGAAGATTAGCATGGCCCCTGCGAATCGATGACACGCATAAATCGAGAAAAATGGTCCTCTCTTTTATCAAGTTTTATGGAACGATACATTAATGTCCCGAAGGCCCCCCCACACTGCACAAGGATGACATACATAAATTAAGAAAAATCATGTAAAAAAAAAAAAATCATAAAATGTCAAAAAAAAAAAAGAGAGAAAAAGGAAAAGAGTGTGACCAGTTGAACCAGACATCCCCCTAAACCCTGGTCAAGTTCCCTAACAATTTGGACCATTTCTTTTTCTTTCTTTTTCTTTTCTTTTCATTTCTTTTCTTTTCTTGTTTTTCTCTTTTTTTTTCTTTCCTTTTCTTTTTTTTTTTGTAAGGGCAACGGCCTTGAGATTTCATCGTGACATTGACCTTCCCTAGGAAATTCAGAAATTTCAAATTTCGTTCATCTGTTTCCATCTGAACTCGAACTCACGTCTGCATTTCAATTTTTCAACAGTTCATGGGTGTACAAGCTGAGCTAAGCGCATCCTTTTTTCTTTTTTTTTTTTTTCTTTTTCTTTTTTTTTATTTGGACCATTTCTCGATTTATGCGTGTCATCCTTGCGCAGGGGCCATGCTAATCTTCTCTGTATCGTTCCAATTTTAACGGATGTCCCGAAGGACTTTCTTTTCCTTTTCTAAGTTTTCTTTTTAATAAAAAAAAATGAAGTCAGCAGAGAAGAATATCAGTGCCATCCTTGTGCAGGGGCCATGCTAATATTCTTTCTCTATATCGTTCCAATTTTAACTGATGTCCCAAAGGACACTTAATGCGCTTTCAATTTGCGATTTTACTTTTGAGTTCATTACCTCCATCCTGAACCGTGTGCGATGGTGTGATCTGTATCAGTCACATAATCAGTGTATCTTCCATCTCCATCCTCATGTTCATCATGTTCACACTTATATGTGCCTTTCAGTCTTCTCTCTCCTCAGAGAACCTTTTTTTTTTTTTTTTGGTCTTCTTTTTCCTGAGAGCACCTGGTCCACTCTTCTGGAGAAGATGCACACATTCTGAGGACTAGTAGGATTACAGTATTTAATCCACCACAGAGTCAGGCTCCCCATGTCCTGGCGACTCAGTGGGGACTCTGGCGAGCGACTCCATATTAGAGGAAGCTATGCTTACGATAGTCGGGCGTGAACCTGACCAATTTCATGACTACATTCTTGCTGTCTAATTGGCTCTCAGGCATCAAACAAATGCCTTCAGCGCCAACCAGGGTTGTTGCAACGGCTCTCCATCTCCACCTCAGATTTATTGCATGCCAGGGCAAAAAACTCACGGCACAACATCATGGGATCAGGCCATGCAAGTGCTATGGTTGGGCTATGGTTGTGCTAACCAGGCATGAACCTGAACAGTTTCACGACCACATTCTGACTTTCCAAGCACGGATATGGAATCAAGGAAGCTAGCGCATAACGGCATTGCATCAGATGTCATAATGGAAGAAGGCTTACCGTATCAAACTTCTGAAGACGGTTTCGATTTCAATTCCATGATGTTGTTTGTCGGACCCC